ACTCCAGCCTCCAACGTTGGTTTTTTTTTTGTTTTTAACCTTTCCATTATGCTGACCTTCGAACATAAACCTGATGGATGTTTAATCTGTGATGAGTATGAAATGTTTCCCCAGTAAGTAGTTTCTTTAGTGCCTTCACAATTGCATACGCCTCCTTTTCAATAATAATGATGCTTCTCATTCGGCGAGAGCGTTCTTGAGAAGAAAGGTACTCGTCTCCCGTTCTGGTCAAGAGTAGCAGCACTAGCAACATCAGATGCATCTATCTTAACAACTAGCGGATACTTCAAGTCAAAAGTTACCAAAACCACATTCTCAACTTCTTCCTTGAGTGTCTTTATGCAGTCTTCTACGTTTTTTGGTAGGGGAAATATTCTGTTGTGTATGAATTGGTAGGCTTTCTTTAAAAATTTTGATATCTATTGAGAGGAGTAGGTGAACATTTCCATTATTCGTTGTTGTGACTTTAAGTTATACGGGGATGCCATTTCTTTTAGGCGTTTCAACCTTTCAGGATCAAGTTTGATTTTTATCTTTGAGATTTCGAATCATAGCAATTGGATAATGGTTGCTGAAAAGATGTTTTTGTAATTGTTGAACGTTATGCCATACTCTTTAGCAGCTTGGAGGAACTTTTTGAAATTCGTCCTTGTCCTTACCACACACTGAAAACAAGCTACTTCGTTTGTTACTCTAAATGTCACCCGGCAGAATTGGTAAAGATTACCACATGCCTCAAAGGCAGTCAAGAACATTTCTTCCTTCTTGATATGCACTCTGCCGATCAAATGTACTGTAGAGTTCATATTCTGATACCTTTTCAACTCTTTCGTCAACTCGCTTTTGGGGATAAGCATCTAATTGTGTGTATTTGTTGATTGTCTGGCTGTAATCTATCACCATTCTCTTTTTATGGCGTTCATTGGTAGTAATGATTACCTGGGACCTCCAAAGAGATTGAGAAGGTTCGATGACTTTTTCTCGTAAAAGTCGTTGTATCCCTGAAGAGATGAATTTCTCATCTTCCGATGAACGATGACGAGACTTAGTTGTTATCGGTTTGCAATCTGGTGCTAAGTTCTGAAATAACGTACTTTTTACTACTTTAGCTGCAGATAGATTTCATGGAGCTTGAGTGCCATTGAAAGGAATTTTCACCTTTTCGTGATTTTTTGAAAAGTCATGTTCAAGAACGACTTCGGTGCATACGTTTGAAAGTACTGGTAGTTTCACGTGTTTGTATTCAAAGTCTTTATTAGTCATATTAACTATCATATGCCATTGTGTTTTACTAGTGAGACTGTTAGTTGCCATAGTGATAGTACTTTAAGGACTTTCAATTTTCTTCTATGCACAACGATTGTACTAATGAAACTTTCCGAGCTTCCTGTATCTATAAAGCTTTCGTTGGAGTTCCATTGATGCTTATCTTAACGACGGCCTTGGAGAGACACTTGTAGCAGTTGCTGTAGCAAGAACTGAATAAATACCCAGTCGCTGTACACTTAGCTGAGTTGCTGGACATGCAAACCTTTTGGAAATGTCCTTTTTTGTCCACATCTCTTACAAATTGCATTTCTTACGGGGTATTTGGTGCGTCTACCATACCCACATAAAAAGCATTTGAATGCGGTAGATACCGCTGACGTGGTAGCATTCTCGTCCTTGGTTGGTATTCCTAGACAACTTTTAACGTCCCCGTCATTGTTTAAAGTAGTCGCTGTTGTGGTTAGAGGGGTATAGGTTTGGTAAGACATACTACGTTTCTCAGCCATTTCAGTGATCGAGCCTCATCAATGTCTGTCTGGAAATTCAACGTTTTCTTTTCGGGGAGTTCTTGGCGGTTTGAAGCCATACCATAAATAAAGGCGCCTCTAATTGCATCATTTCCGTATTGCTCTGCCGTTACTAAAAATTACAGTGTTTTGTCAGTGATTTTAATTTCTGAAGGAACTGGTCTAGCGTCTGTCCAGCTTCTTGATGTACGTCGATAGTAAATACCTTGCGAAAATTTCGTTTTTCGGCTTGACATTATAAGGCCTCAATTCAACCCGTACTATTTTTACTTTACCAATGTGCTAAGGAGGAATAAGCAAACAAGAAGAATAACATTCAAGAATAGAAGTTGCATACAAAAATAGAATTTATATATGCATAACAACAATTGTACAGACAGTAATTCAGTTATGTTTGAAAGGCTGAAAGTTTCTTGTTCTTGGAATTTTGAGCGAGGAAAATGTTCCTGTTGAATAACTGATGTGTATTAAAAAGTGTCTAAGTTTGCAGAACTTTAGTAAGATGCATTGTTACTTGTAAGGGAATTAAACAGTTTGATACTCACAATGTTATAAGTGTTACTGTCCTTGAACGCGTGAATGTTCGAAGATGTTAGTACGTGCGTGTCATGACGTTTCATAACATTTTCCCCTGAGGGACAAAACGTGATCTCTCTACTGACTATATTACTGTGGGTTTGAGAAGACAGGAAAGAAGATATGTCCCAGTATTTATAAGTGATGTGAATCACAGTTTGGATCTTTTAGCAGGAGTAATTTTTACTGGCCAATATATAGTTCATTTTATTTCATTTAATACCGAAAACATGTGTCGAGCCATGGTGCGCAGATACGCGTTTTCGCATTCTGCTTTTGAATCGTTAAGCAGTCAACATCCGGTTTATATAGAAGAGTATAAGAGACACGACAAGGCCCATCTTCTAGAAAACTGATCGGGTAAAACTAAAAGCCGTATCAATTAATTAGTAATAAATGTATGTCTTGAAGTTTGTAGGAAAGGTAACTTTTCTGCTTGATCTGGTTTGAATTGTCGCTGTATTTTCAGATTGTGATGTATTTTCAGATTTGGGTGGTTCTTGTACATAAAGAGAATGTTTGGCTTGGTTGATTTTCTTTTTCTAAGACAGCTGGTTCCAGTCTGTCAATAGCGACTGTGTCTGACTGATTACCTTTTTGTATTGGGAAGTATTTTCCGCTCCGTGTAAGACTTTGTATAATTTTTTGATATATTTTTTACTGCGTCTTCTCGTACAAAAACGTATTCACGGGTATAAGTTGTGATCTGAATAGAGAAAGTGTCTAATAATCGACGCTTGTGAAAGTTGAAGGCGTGATTCCTGACGTGCTATCAGGTGAATATAGATACATGAATCAATGAAGTATGTGCAGTGTTGTTGTCAGGGTGCTGAAATTATATTCAGGATGAATGCATAGCACACTCTGGAAGAATTGCGTTGTATGTGTTGAAGTGTACACGTGTCTTCAAGGTGAATTGCTGTTGGCCGACGCTGGCGGTAATTCTTGAATAGAAGTGAAAATGCAGGTGTAATTTGAAATCCTGTCCAGCGTTTAACTATTAAATTCTTGCTTTATTCCAATGCTCCGCGTAATTCAGTAAGTCGAGATGCGTACTTACTCGATTCGCGTAGAGAGTGCATGCGGCGAACAAAAAAAAAAAAAAAATTAAGAGCAGTCGTAACGAAGTTGAAAAAATTTGCGTATTATTAATAACTAAATATCGTCAGCAAATTTATGCGTGAAAACTAGTATTTAGCCATTGACAACTTTTATATGTCCTTTTTTTTTTACAAAATGTAAGAAAATGACAAGTAGAAAAAGAATTATATTTTCCAGGTGTATTGTTTTGTAAAGTAGTAAAGACTTTGTAAATAAAAGATTATTGAGCTTTATAATTACATATTTTTGCATTATTGAAAATGCATGAATTTCAAAGAAGTAATGTAGGATTACTCTTCTAAAGGTATGTGTTAAAACTGGTGTTTTAAAGGATGCTTCATGAGAAAGCTAATATAGGCGTTTTAAAACTTTTAAATTAAAGGTCTAGTTTGATACAGCTCTAATATATTCTCCAGGAACATTAAAGCCTCTCTTAAAAATTTAATCAGAATTAAATCAAAATCTGAATTCATAAAATTAACTATTAAAATATTTTGAATTGTGTTGAAAAAATTAAGCGTCTGTGGACTAACTTCCTACACCCGGCATAAGGTGGAATAAGGGAGGCAACTACGTGAAGTCGTGAATCTCTTCTGGTATAAAAAAATCAATTTTTTAATTAGTTAACAATTTAATAATGGCTATAGTAAACAACAAATATTTAAGAAAAAATTTTAGGAAGCCAACCAATTGTCTGACAGGTAGATAATATATATATATATATATATATATATATATATATATATATATATATATATATATATATATATATATATATTTTAGATTAAGTTATCAAGTGTTAACCTACAGCTAAGAAGCACAAAAAAACATTACAATCGAAGTGTGTGTGTAGAACTCAGATTTTACGTGGTTAGAGAATTACTATTCATTCATAAACTTAGTTTAGTTTTGGTACAAGGCCAGAAATATGGAGCACCTAGTGATTATCGAACTCACCGCTTAGTAATGATGCTCATGGCATCCTGATCGGCAAGTTCATTGTCGCAAAAAAGCAAGCTAATATTGAATAATGGATCGATTTTTTTTTGACGTTCGTGTAATAAACTGTAAAGCAGGCTACAGCCCCTGATTACAAAAAAAAAAAAAAAAAAAAAAAAGGCCACGCCACTTAGTCGTCCATGTCGATAAAAAAGAAAATAAAAGGACGAGTATATTTAGTCATTGAGGGTGATAAAGGTACTTTAATTATTTAGCGTTTATAATTTAAATAGTTTATAGTTGCTTAAGTTGTATTTTTAGTTGGTAAGCCTTAAATTGGTGTTTCAATATAAATTATACTTAAAGATACTACTTTAAGATAGATTTGATTGCTATATTTGTTTTTTTAATGTAATCCTGAATATCCTGATTCAATAAATAAGACTTCACTTGACTTACTCAATTTATTTCCTACAGTAGTCACAGGTTCTGGTCGGTGCTTTTTTTTTTTTAAACTTTAGTAGTTTCTTTCTTCCGCAAACAGTTCGTTAAACAAGCAGAAAATAGGGTTTCTTCAGCCAGAAAATGATGACTTTTAAACATTTTGCTAACACATTTGTAAGGAAACAATATATGAATGGTAAGGTACATTTCTTTTTCTTGTCTGTGTTAGTTTTTATTCAAAAAGAAAAATTAATTTTGCGATTACACTTTTACTTTTAGTTTTACGCTCGTCGAGAAAAGGAGAAATTTGTCGCGTACTTTAAATTTAGTTTAGTTTGCAAAATCTTTGATTCTCTACACCCTTTGCTAGTTTATTTTTTTTATAACATAATCTTTGTAATTGTACGAAGGGCGTTGTTTTATTTGTTTAGTTTGTTTACACAACTAATTATTTCTCTCACCATACTCATTTTGTTAATCTTCGGTTCATTATGGGCAGGAAGAGAATAAAGAAAAAATGCCTATTTTGGAAAATACGTTAACAAAACAAGAAACAACTTATTTTCACCTGTACAGTGTGACTAGTGTCTAACTTTGGGTATTTTTATGAAGTAAAAAAAAATAACTTGTTAAATTTAGTTTCTGGAAAATGCGACGAAATACATGAGATATCAAATTTTTGTTGGTCTTAAAGTAAACTCTTGTATTACTTTTTCTTTTACATCTTGCACTTTACACATCTGGGCCTGATGATGATACGTGGTTTTAAGTTTTCTTTAAAAAAAATCACCCCTACCCAACTACTAAAACTCACATTCTTAATCGGTACCCTTCAGTTTTTAGGTTTTATTATTTATTAACCCATTACTAATTGTTCAACTTCTAGCTAGTAATTCTTGCTTGGATAATTAAGAATAAGATAAAATATCAGTACACTCCATTCTTCTTCAATAATTAAACTTTTAAAGATTTTTTCCCCATTTCCTTAGCTGTTCAGCGTGTGTCGGTTGTTAACTTGTCATTTTTTTTTTTTCGTAACATATTGAATTTAAATTTTCCAATTTATTACGGAGCAATTTGAGCTTGAGTTGACAATTATACTTCTGATAGGGGCCTGAAGTCACACCCATTTTTTTTCTGTAATTAAATTAACAGTTCACCCTACAGAACTTCTTTGCATTTTTTAAAGATCGTTTCTAAATGAATTAACAACCAATATTTTCTGAATAATTAATTAAAGATGTTAAGTTTAACTCGGTACGCAAATAAGATTGATAAAATATTGCCAAGAAAAGACTAAATTTTGCATTTTTTTTAAAACATATTTTTTAAATAAAAAAAATGCATTTTTTTTTCTTGTTTCGCAAAAATATCGATTTTTAAGAAATAAAAATAATTTTTTTTTCCTAACCTGTTCATCTTTTTTCCGCCCCGCACATCTTTTCTGTAATCGAAAAGGAGTACCCCCACTTCCCCAGAAAATATGAAATTAAACTTGGTTTAAACAAAATAAATAACTATTTTTTTAAATTTTTTTTTTTTTTTAAGAGAAGAGACTGAAAGCAACGATTACAAAACATCTTCGTCTCTTTACAAGCCAGTTTTACAGACTATTATTTAATTCCCCTACTCATTTTGACTTTGTGTCAGACGAAATCAAGATTGGTATCTATGGGAACATATCTTTGTGGAGCACTGGTCAACAACTTAATCTCGCGAAAATAAAGTTTGACCCTTATCTAGTATCTTCCATATAGAATGGATTCATATGGGTTTTCTAATTAATAACGCAAATGTTTTTAGTAGTTTACTAAACTTTAAGTGGCATTTCCATAAGATACCTTACCTCCAATATATAATTTTAATGCTTTTTGTACCCTAGATTAAACTATAACTATGGATACTTTGTTTTTAAGCGTGTGGGGAAATTTGTCCCGGCCTTCCCACATGAAAGATTACAGTTATCGATAAAAGCAACAACGGCTTGAAAGTTTAGAGCGAACAATTTCCTCTTTTAGGTGGAAGAATAAAAACTCAAATTCCTGCTCGGGGTGTAACAATAGAAAAAGAAAATTTTTATTTACATGAACAAAAAATGTAAAGGAATACACAAAATATGAGAGAAAGAAAGGGAGAAAAAGTCCTTTAACTTAATGGAAGAAAAAGTGTTTAAAGGCTTGTTCAAAATATTTCTCTGAGCACCTAAAAGTTCTTTAAACAAGTAAATTGTTCTTAAAAATTCTTCAGAACTCTTGTTGAGTGGGAGGGATAATCGGAAGATCCATAGTTTGTAGTTGAGTGAGATCCGACGAAAAGAATTTCAATGTTTTAGGGAAATATCTCGATCGGTTTTTAGTAGAGGGATGATGTTCTGTTTTTTTGTTACAGCCCAGCATATAGATTTCTTCCTTGAAACATGTTCCGAAGATGGCTGGTGTTACTGTCGCCGACCTGATGTTATCACAGTCGATGTCAAATACTCAATGCCAAAGAGGCGTATATTCTCCGTATTTATCGAGATTAGAAGGTTTAGAAATATCGGGAAATTTCCCTCCAAAATTGCTTATATACATTCCCGACCCACTCATTCTTCAGAAAATATATTATTTCTGATAAGAAACAAATGTTCCTGAGCCGGTTTTGGAAGCAAGTATCTGACAAGTTGTGAGCGTTACCCACGATTTTATGGCATCATGGTCAAGGCAGGTGTGATCAAATTCCTTTTTTATATTTTCCAGTCCTCTTGTTTGTCAGAAAATATATTATCTCTGATAATCAAGACTTTGGGAGTCGGTTTTGTCAGAAAATATATTATCTTTGATAATCAAGAATTTGGGAGCCGGTTTTGGAAGCAGGTGTGAAAGTTGGGGCACAAATCAGAAAAGAGGCCAGAATATGAACTTGTAAAACATTGTAGAGTAGTTAGTGGTTCTGCGATTAAATTCTAATAAGTGATCCTAAGAAGAATGTTTTAAAACAAACGCTGGTGCAATGCCTAGCTAGACTTATGAAAAGTTGTTGGTAATTTAATGAATCCTGTGGTGTTTTTTGGGGGTTGGTTTGGGTTGTTATGGCCTCTGCCATTTCTTTTTTTTATTTTTTTTATTTGTTAACTGACGTTACATTGTCAGTCCTCAACTAATAATATACATCGTGTATCTGCATGGCTGGTGCAATGTGTACTATTCAGGAATATCAAACTTACATTAAAAATGATTATTGTAGCTCTTTGCTACTCTGTTCACATAACCAAGGGCAGGTGTTGTATATCTTCATGACTTTTTCTCCAATTGTGTTGCTCACTTCCTTCAATTTAAGTTCATTTAGATTTATAATAAGCCTAATAACTTTTAGTTATTTTAGTGTTACGAACATCGACTCAATACACGTTGTGAAAACTTTTATATTTTGTAACACCTGAATTTATTTTGCTTGAGATTTTTAGTACTTTACAGGACCAGTTAATGTTTACATTCCCTTATCATTCTTGCCAAACTCGGGATGGAGGACGAGGAGGTGGAGAAATGCAGGCCCCGGTGTCCAGGGCACTTGAATTGGTTGTGTATTGAGTCCAACTGGGTTCTAGTTGGGGCTTTCCTATCCACTCTTACTTCTAGTACTCTTGCCCTTATTTACTTCCGGTTAACTCGGACACTTATTTCCGGCATTCCTAGCCTTTACTTCTTCCAGCTACCACAGGCCCTTATTTTCTGGCATCTGACTTCTGGCATTCCTAGCCTTTACTGATTCCAGCTACCATGAACCCTTGTCTTTGGCATTTCTATTTCAACCTAACTCACCTGGTTGATCAGCATTATTGGACCTACTTACAACAGCCCTGAACTTCTGGCTACACCATGGTCTCTATTTCTGGCATCTTTATTGCAACTTAACTCACCTGGTTGATTGGTGTTAACTGACCTGCTTACAGCAGCCCTAAACTTACTCATTGGTCCCTCCTTCCTCACCTGGTTTAGGAAATTGCATGAAATTCCAGACTCAAACAACCTACTCCATATACTTTAGTTAAAATACCATGGAAGGTTCACCATCGGATTTAACCATCAACTACACAATGCCAGAACTAGGCATTAGTTCTATCCTCATTCTGTTGTCCATTTTGTTCCACCTGTCAGATTTCACGCCTTTTAATTTATAAATGTTAGCTGGCCTCCCGTGGCTATTTATTTGGGCATATAGGCCATATTATATTGCGCCCCCTCCAGGGGGTTCGCTATATGACTTTTAATCTTTAGTTATATATCATTTTTTTAAACAGCATTGTATTCTGTCTGAGGTGATCCTTAACCTAAAGATCACCTTGACTCTGTTCCAATGGTGCCCAGAAAATTCGGTAACAGAAAATCTGATAATTTTGACAAGATAGGAAAATTTGGTAACTATGAAATAAAAGTTGATTGAAAATTGATTCAGCTCTCTGGATTCTGTAGATTAAAATCAATTTTATTTGCTTGAAAACAATAAATTTTAAATACTTTTTTTTTTTTTTTTTAATAAGTATTTATTTAATTACTATACTCTATTGTTTTCAAGCAAATAAAATTGATCTTAATCTAAGAAATCCAGACTGGCCCTAAAATCAATTTTCAATTGACTTTTATTTCATAGTAACCAAATTTTCCTACCTTGTCAAAATTACTGAATTTTCCTAAATTTGTCCCAGAAAATGTCTATCACCAGACATAAGCTTACTTGAGTAATCAGTAAGAAGTGAATTCAATAGGTAGTAAAATTTTGTGAAACAAGCTTGCTATGTACAGTGTTTTTTAAGATAATATATAATACAATTATTAATATTTTTATGTCATTAAAAAATTTAAATGTGTGTCGAGCACTATAACAGTAGTAAAATTAAAATTCAAGTCTCAATTTAAAATTGATGTGTGAGTAAATAAGAATCTGTAAAAAAAAAAAAAAAATAAAAAAATTATTAATAAATGGAACCTAAATTGACCCTTGGAAAAGGAAAGAAGCCTTCATAAAATGCTTTTGAAAATCCCATAACAATAAATTTATTATAGTTTTTGTTTCATGTGATGAAAAAAAACAAAAAAACTTAGCCCTGATGAAGAATAAAATAAATGTTAAAATATTTATGAACTCATCTTGAATTTTTTCAGGAGAGTTCATTGCTATTTAGTGTTTAGAAAACCTCATCTTGCTTGGCCAATGCTTCCACAAATTTTATCTTTTATTGCTATTTTATTCAGTGTTTTTATTTACTAAAAAAAAATGCAGGGAATAAATAATGTTTGATCAATTGTTAATTTTAAATATCTTTGACATGATTTTCTTAGTTAATGAGTTTCTAGTTGTTATATTGTGTATTGGTAGCAAGAGAAAGGAATAATAAGGATTAGAATGAAACAAAGTATATTGTTGGTAGAGAGTACAGGAATAGCAATTAAGTGTACACGTAGTGTCAGGAGTTGAACCATTTCATATGCCAGCGTGGCCAAGGTTACAGGATACAGTTAGTGCATGTTTGGTTGATGGAGGTCATGGTTGTAGGCCATCTTGTCAGTTGGTCAACCTGTTGTGTTGAAATGGGGTAATGTCAGATTGATGTGGTCTTGCTAGCCCTGTTCTGTGAATGGAGGCCGTTGGCATCAACTGTGAAGGGAATGCCTTGAAAACGAGTTGAAGTAGGCTGAGGTGACAGCGGGTGTTGTGAATGCCTTGTAAGCAAGTCAAAGTAGAGCTGTTCTGCTGTTAGCAGTCTTTTCGGGAAAAAGAAATGCAAAATGCAAAATTACTTGCATATTATTTTTTTTTTGAATGTCTGATTAAAAAGATTGGATTATGAGTAACACATTTTATAGATTGCATAAATTCTATACTGACCCTAGACAACAGGAAGCACTACTTTGACATTCAGAAAAAAATAATCCTGTCAATTTTGATATGTGCTATATGAGTCATATAAATTTATGAATATAATGAATGGAACTGATATTATCAGTCAGTGTGTGTGTATATATATATATATATATATATATATATATATATATATATATATATATATATATATGTAAAAAAAAAGAGAGAGAGAGAAACTTAAGGTATGCTATATTTATGGATAAAAGTGCTCGGTATCAGAGATAGGACATGTAAATATAAAAATGGACACTGAGGTCAACACCAAGTAGTGACAATCTGTTTCATGCTTGAATGCAACCTTTAGGCCTGAAATATTTGTCACTTGGTGTTCACCTCAGTGTCCATTTTCATATATATATATTTACAATAATGTAAATTACTAAATTTTAATTCATTCCAAGACCAAGCTTGAAACTCAAAACACTCATATGTCAAATCAGTTTTCTCCATTAAAATTAATGGAAATATTTCTGATCCATTCCAGGCCCCTAAAAATTCACCATTCCTCTTTACACTTACTTTCTTTGGACCCATGGTGCCATTAAAGGGATTTTACAAAATAACAGCAAAGAAGACACAACACAATAGAGATCCTTCTAGAGCAGATGTGAATGCATGTACTGCAGATGCTTAACTGAAACTCACCTGTATCTCAAAATTCAGATCATATCTAAAAAAAAAAACACATATGTCAGTGCACTCAAGGTATTACTGTATATATAAGTTCAAAATTCATCTAGTGTTTCCAAGATTTATTTGTAATGTTTTTTTAATTTTTCAGGAATTTCTCGAATGGTATTAAGTCATGAATTTTCCTGTGCTGCACCTGGAAAAATTTGTGTAAGTAATAGATATATTATTAAAACTCCTTTCTGTTCAAGCATTTGTATGCACATTTCATATATTCACCTTTCTGCCACATGTATTTGTTTTTATCTCCCACACCCTCAGTTACCTTTCCTATGGTCTCATTTCTATTTTACTCCTATTTCTTTCTCTAACTTTGCCATTTTGCTCTCTCCCATTTTACTCCCTCTCTCAATCACTTTTCACTCTTTCCCATTTCATTGTCTCTCACTGTTTTGCACTTTCTCTCATTTCCATTTCACTTTCTCTGTTTTCTCTATCATTTCCATTTAGCCCTCCCTCTCTATGTTCTTCTTATACTTAATAGATATTCATAAGTATAAAAGTACTAATATTATTACAATAAAAAAATTTCTTGAATTTTTTTTTAAGAAAACCAAGCAACTTAAACAGATGTTGGAATCTCCTAAATTAGAATTCATCATGGAAGGTCATAATGGGCTGAGTGCTCGAATTGTGCAAGAAGCAGGTAAGTCTTTAACTTTATTTATTTTGACTCCATCTAAGCTTTTGAATATAAATAATTCACTCTAACTTACCACAGGATACCTGCATAGTTCACCAGGATTTGAAACAGAGTTAGTGAGAGGCTTTTCACTTCTGATGTAGGAGTGTCTCTACCAGATAGAGATATCCCCAATGACATAGATGATCATCACCATCACACTCTATTGAAGACTTTAAATGATTTATATATTAAATTACAGAGTGTCAAGTAAATGAGAGCAAATTACAACAAATATAAAGATATTCAATAAAAACAGTTTGACCAGAGTTTTGTTGTACTGTTTTTTTTTTTTTTTTTTTTTACAACAAAGGGATTTTTAACTTCCTGAGTTATTGTTATTGATTAATTTATGATTCAAAGTTTTTATAATAAATGACAAATTTAAGGTATTTATTGAAATAATTAAGTGATATACCAGAAAATTATTAAGTGACTTTTTAATTTATAGTTGGGTACTTTTTCAGTTAGTGTGTGAAAATATATATATATAATGTGTGTGTGTTAAAATTTTGCTTTCTCTCTGCCATGCAGTGATAGCCTATGGGTAGGATCTCTGACTGATGTCAGATCAGTCAGGTTTCAATTCAGGTTTGAAGCAATCGGATGTCTAGCCACACTGCAGAACTGTGATACACTGAAACTGTGTCTGTAGATGACTCTCTCTCTCTCTCTCTATATATATATATATACATACATATATATATATATATATATATATATATATACACGTTTCATTAAATAATATAGACAAGTGTTGTCTATTTATTTTATGTAAAATTTGTTCGTAACTTCTGATAAGTTTGATAACATTATCATTAAACGAAAAAAGAAATTCACAATATTGATCCATATTTTTTAATATAATCTAAGCTTTCGGCTTACTTAAGCCATTATCAAAGATGTAAATCACAAACATATTAAACAATATACGGACACGACAGTGATGATAGTCTGTCATTGTTTACATAGTGGATCACTAAGCAACGATAAACACGTGCATATAAGACGCTAGAAGCGAAAATCGCACCGCATCTCATGACGTCACATGACTACATGAGAGTGAATTGTAGAATGAAATAAGGAAAGCTGTTGGTATAAACCAATGGCTTCTGTTACCAATTATAGACATTTAAGAATATTTGTAGACATGCCATAATTGATTTTGTTTAGGTTGGGTTTTAACTGTTTGATGTATAATGCTTCAAGTATTTTTAGTTTTTGTCTATTGTTTTCATGTCAAAGTATAGTTGTGTTTTCGACAAGTATTTTACGGAATTGTGTGTGCGGGCAGGCATGTTGTTTTAAATGCCTAAAAATGTTAGAGTTTTCATTAAAATGTAGTGTCAAGCGTCATTGAAAGCGAGTTTGTGGTGTGACCAACATAAATATTATTTAATTCCGTAAATTTTACATAAAATAAATAGACAACACTTGTATAAATTATTTAATTTTTAAACATAACGGAAAATATGACAGAATACACAATATATATATATATATATATATATATATATATATATATATATATATACACATATATATATATATATATATATATATATATATATATATATATAATTATTTTTATAAAAAAAAATTATAACATAATTATGTTATAAAATCACTACAATGTTAGCCATTTGTTTTTTATATATAACTGATGTCTTATAAGTATATGTACAAAAGAAAATATATGGTATAAAGTTTACATTAATTCAACTATTTAGAAAAAAATCGTTGGAAATTGTAGATTTTATATTCTTGTTTCTTTATTTAAAAAATTTATAAATATAATTATATCTGCTCTTTTTATTGAGCACTCTTTTAAGAATAGTAATTGTTGGTTATTGGAATTCATTCTGTGTATACCAATTATATATACTTTTGATATATATATATATATATATATATATATATATATATAATATATATATATATATTTACACACATATATATATATATATATATATATATATATACACACATATATATATATATATATAATTTATATGAAAATATTTTTGGAGCTGACTTATGCTCCCCATTTTCAAAAAGGAGCCACTCTAGCTCCAACTGCATTAAAAATAAAAGAGTGGCTCTTTTTTGCGCTCCATAGTTAAAATGTACCTTCTTTCATAAACGTTGGACATTTTTGTAATTAATAAGCTGGATATGATTTAATAAGAACCAACATTTAGCCTGTCAGCATACCCTTTACCCCCCAAAACATACCAACAACAAATTCAGTTTTACTAATTTTATTTTATCATAAACTGGAGCTTAACTTTAGTAATAGTTGTTTTTCGAAATTTCCATCTTTCAAGCTGTGATGGTTTTTTCCAAAAATTCCTATTGTTTGCTGTTCTCTTTGTTGGCTGAAACCATTCTTTTCCATATGATTTAGACCATTGGAATTGTAGCAGATAATGTTTGCAGGAGGAGGGCATATTTGTATCATCCTGTATTATTACAAGTGACTTCTCATTTGCAGTTTCATCCTTCATGATTTCCAGAGTTTAGCTAGCAGCTTGTCAGTGGTTAATGTGTCCATCCTAGAAGAGAAATGCAAAAGCTTCTTCATGTAGTCTAGCAGCCATGCTATGAAGACTCATGCCACAGTATGATCTGGCCTACTTCCAAACAACACTGTTAATTTTTGCAGTTATGCCAAGTTTGCCATAAAAGGTGCTGAATTGCATGTAGATGCAACCTGGATACAGACACCATGTTAAAAATTGTTCATATGCCACAAATGAATCCATTTCAAAGATAGTATGTAATGCATTCTTTATTCAAATTAATTTGTTTTATCCTGCATCAGCTGCACATTAATTCAGCTTTTTAAAAATCTATTCCACTATAGGCAGACCAAACACTACTTGGTAATTAACTTCAGGTTGTATTTACTGTCAGACATTTTATCAAAATAATTTGAGGCTTGTATTAGTGTTCAATAAGCTTCCATTCCTTGCTTTTCTTGATGATATAGCTTTATTGTACTGAGGTAAAATCTTCATCTTTGCTTACTTGTTAACATTTTTATTAGATAAAGTGATTTCAATATGTAGCTAATTTCAATGACAATTTAGTTTGCTACTCAATTTCATTATTTTCTAAAACTGTATTCACTTACTGTATGACATATTCTTTGATTTTTTTTCTAGGTTTTAAAGGAATCTGGGGAAGTGGACTGTCAATTTCTGCCCAACTTGGTGTCAGAGATAGCAATGAAGCTTCATGGACCCAAATCTTGGATGTTATGGAATATATGTCTGATGCTACTGATATTCCTATTCTTCTGGATGCAGACACTGGATATGGAAACTTTAATAACGCTCGTCGACTGGTTAGAAAATTGGAAGAGCGAGGAGTGGCAGGTAAGTTACTCTTTTTATTTGTTTTATTTTTTAAGAGAAAGTTTTGTTTGACTATCACAATATGACTGAATTGCTATAGTGGTTAAAACAGGTATTTGATTAAATATCTCTGTCCTATAATAATTGTCACATTTAGTGTATGAAATTTATCTCTAAGCTCCAAATAGTTGTTCTATTTAGTTTATGAAATGTATATGCAAATGTAAGAAATATAGGACATTTATTTGTAAAATATTACCTTTGTCTCATGATAGTTTACAGTTTTTCAAAAACAAAAAAAAACTCAATGAAATAATTTATTAATTCAGAGTTTGAAATCAATAATTTTGAAACTCATTTGAATATTTTCTTTTGGCATTTAAAATAATATCTTTGTTACATTTAATGCTGTTTAGTAGCTAATTCTCATGCTAAAATTTTCATGCCTAATTATATTGAAATGATTTGCATTTAACTACATAATATCCTCCATACATGTTTGCAATATTAAGAAAATATATCTAATGTTAGCATTGGTATTTTATTAAGTGTTAAAGATACCAGTCAATTCTTCCTAGTTAATTCATTGACCACAGAAGAATTTTACACTAACTGGCCCAGAAATTCAACTCCAGATATCTAGTTACCTGCAGATCATAAGTTCAATTCTAGTCACACAAAAAAATAAACAAAAATAATCTTTAATGTATCCTACCATATAACAGCTATAATTTGGTTGGGATAATTTTTTTGATGTATTGTCAAAGAAGTCATAAAATTAGTACAATACAGTGTTATTGTTTTCTGTATTAATAATGAGTAGTTATAATAAAAACTGATAGTAGAAATTGAAAAAGGTATTTTCCAAGGAGACTTGTTTTCATCTCTTATTGTGTATCATTGACACATCTATGAAATGCAGAAAGTAGCTATGAATTTACTAGTAATGGAGAAAAAATCAACCACCTACTGTTTATGGATGACTGGAAATTGTATGCCAAGAGTGAAAAGGCATTAGATTCTTTGATTCAGTTGGTTTGTGTGTTCAGTGGGGATATTGGGATAGAATTTTGTGCTGACAAATGCACACACAAGAGAAGGAAAAATAGTTGAGTTTAAGGGGATGCAATTATTAGATGGAGAAGTCATAAAATCTTTAAAAAAGAGAACTATACATATTTTAGTATTCTACAAGCCAACCATACTGAAATGAAAGAAGAAAATTAATGTTGAGTATTTCAGATATGTAAAGAAAATTCTTGAAACAAAATTAAATGGTGGAAATCTCATTAAAGAAATTTGTACTTGTATTGCATTCTGTATCCTTCGGATATTAGAATAATACAAAATTAGCGGAGATGAACAAAGGAACATGTAAGTTAATGAATATGCCTATTGATGTCAGAAGAAAGGAGGGAGTCAGAGAGTTAATGAGTGTTAGAAAATTGTCCTTAGCTATTCTGGGATTATGATAATTCTCCTGAATTGCTTTTGATAACTTCATCAGTATATGGAAGCATGAAATTTTGAACTGGTGACTGTAGAAAAGAAGCAGTGTAAAGAAAAGCAGTTAGAAGAAAAGTTTCATGATCATTTTTTCAGCAGACAGACTGAAAGATGGCTTTGGTAAAAGATGGTTTTATAAAGAGAGAAACAATCACTAAATGACATCATTGGATTAGTAAAAGAATCCATTGGGAAGCACTCCATAAATTTTGCTTCCGTTTGAAACAGAAATGCTATGAATATTAGCTAGAAGCAGTGATAGAAAAGATGTAGAATTTCTTGATCCAGGCAGATCATGACATTGAAGTATGAAAAAAATTAATTGTATAAGGAGAGTAACAAATGTCAAATTATTGACTTTGTTGTTCCATATGATAGAAGAGTGAACTCCAAAGAAACTGAAAAGATTAAAAAATACCACAATCTGGCTAAAGAGTTAAAAAAGCTATGAAACCTGACAGTTGAAGTAGTTCTTGTAGTAATGGATGTGCTTAGAACACTACCTAGAAAACTGAATTCTACATGTCATGCTTTGGGTATCTCTGCAAGTTTTTGCTGTGGCCAGGTATTGAACTCTCAACTCTTTGGATCAAGTCACATTTTAGGTTACTTAATCAATGCTTTTATCCACTGGAAAATGAAAACTTAAGAAATTTGCATATATACTAGGTTATAAGAATCTCCTAAGCTGGTCAAATACAAAGAGTTAGAGAAAAACAACAATAGCAAAAAGTAAAAGCTCTGGTAACAAAATGTCTACTGAGACATTATTGCCCAGTGAATAAAAGCATTGGTTAAGTAACCTAAAAAGTGACTTGATCCAAAGAGTTGCACCTGGCCACAGCAGAGGTGAACAAAAACTTGGAGAGATATCCAAAGGCATGGCATGTGAAATTAGAGCAATATAAATAAAAGGTTTGGTTCAAAATTCCAATGTATATCACCTGAATAGAAGTTGGAGCATACAACAGCTGAAATGTTATGAACATGGCAGTAAAGATGAGGGTAACAATCTGAATGATGTAAATAATGTAAATATTTAATTACTGTTAATCACAAATATTTATTTAAATTAATATAAAGCACTTTATGTAATCACTGTTCTGGTTAATATCATAAGTTGTAAATTTACTTTTCTCAATTAGTAAATTGAGTAAGATTAAATAAAGTTTTAAGCTAAATTGAATTTAAACAATACCTGAGAGAGGAATGAAAACAAAAAATCATATTAAAAGCAAATGATTAAGAACTTTAAATGTTAAATTGGAATTACATTAAATATTATTCATTTTTATATTTCATCTTTTTCTTAGGCTCTTTTGGATTTCATTAAATAATGACTAATACAAATACCACCTTCTTATTCCAAAATTATCTCAACTTCCTGGTAAAGTTGAGATATTTATATATATTTTCACTTTATTTTCTTATCAAAATTCACTATCTGACATGTTTTCTTTTTGTTTATTACAACTAACCTTTTGGGTCTGGACTGAATGATGCATTTCAGTTGAGAAGGCCCTGACATTTTTTTGTTCTATCCTCTTGGAAAGATTATTGTCTATGCCTTACCATTGGTTTGTATGCATAATTCTCTTTTGTATTCACTCATGCTTATTCTTTCTGGGCCAACTTATTATATTTGACTTCATTGCTCATTATTTGATTTTTATTTTCATAGTTTAAAATTTCTGTTTTTCTTTTTTTTTTTTTTTTAATTCAATCTTGCCCCTTATATAGTTGATTCTTGTGACCTGGTTTTGGAGTCCTATAAAGAGCAATTCATTTTCTCTCTTAAGATTGTGAAAGAGTTCTTCCATATATTTGTTTCATCTTTAAAGAATTCTTTCTTTTTTGTTTCCTCTTTAGATTTCATGCAATTCTGTTCATTGGCATTTTTTTTTTGTTCTGTACTACTCTTATTCTTTTATGCATAGCTGCTGTATTTGATGTTCATTTTTTTCTATCTTTGTACATATTTTGAGCTATTTTCCTTTTATCTGTCTACATTTGTTTTTAATGCTTCTATTTAATGTTCTATATTCTTTGATATTCCTTGCTTGCTTGCTGTTTCTCTTTTATCATCTTGAGAATTTAATTTGTCCTACTTCTTTTTTCTTGACTTACATTCCTTGGGACAACCTACTTCCCTGATACCACTAGAGCTTCACTTTATGTATTACACTTTCAATTGCCCAATTTCTAGAAAATACCACTATTAGTATTTGTTTTATTGTAGTTGTTTTTCTATCTTTAACAACTACAGGCCATTCCAGAAAAGAGTCTATTAAAATTAGAAATAGTCTCATGCCATTAATTTAGTTTTTTTCAAAAGAATTCTTTTCCTCAGGTTTATGCATTGAAAAGGGTGTCATCAATTCTCTTTTTCCATTTTTCTGTACTATTTCCTTTTTAACTTTGCATACAGACTGAAAATGATTTTTTAATTTGTGAAGATATTGCATAATTGATTCATCTTATTTCTGTTTAATGTACAAAAATTTGATTCTTTCTGCTATGGCAAGTTTCCTTTTAAGTTGTAAAATTCTTTTGATAACTTCTGATTATTTCATTTTCTCCCCCTCTTGTCTGGTTGTCTTTCAATTTTTCAGCCCTAGCCTCAGCTGCAAAACACTTGATCCAAATCTCAACAAACTCTGGTTCATCCATGTGACTTAAATATCCTATTGGCGACACCATATTGTTGTACTGTGTTGATCTATGGCATGTGATCAATAGTCAACTTCTTGCCTGTCTCTTTCTTTACAATACACTTTATATCTCTTCTACTTAACATATGCAAATAGGTACAATCCTAGTTACCAATCCACTACACTGACTTTAGCATTTAGGTCTCTTATGATGATAGTAATACTCCATGATTGGTATTGTGTCTTGGTGTTATCAAATGAACTATAAAATTTATCAATTTCTTCTTCCATGCTTTATGCCACTGAAATGTATAATGAATATCTTGAATGGCTTCCCTTTCAGCTTTAGAAGAACTGTCAGACAGTTGACAATATCTCAGAACACATCTTCATGTATTGTTCTAGTATTGGTCTTTTATTTTTGTCTGTACCTGTGTATATGACCCCGTATCCATTGCTTGTGAAGTCCCTATTGATTTATTTGGGGAAGGTATCAGAACATTTACTGGGAACAAATCACCTGCTTATAAGGATAGAAAATGATATAAAAATGTAAAGGAGTGTAGAACAAGGATGCTTCTTCTCATTGAATTCATTTAAACTATACAGGTAGGTGATTATGCAAGAACTAGAAGTTCTACCAGGATTTATTCTTGGTAGGTAAAATCTTATAAAAGATATGCAAATGACACCATGTTGTTGGTAGACATAGAAAGAAATTGCAAGAATTCCTAGGCCAGAGAATAAAAGAAAGTGGGAAGAAAGTACTAAAATCTGCTGAT